ATTTAACTCCAAAGGAGGGTTTCTGATTTGTCTGGTTTAATCATCAGCCAGAAAAAAAACTTTAAAAAAAAAGAAAAGAAAAAAGAATTCCCTTAGTAATATGTTTTGAAGTTTGAGTGGCTTTGAGATTGCTGTGAATGAAGGCAGTGAAGTGAGCATCTAGAAGATGGATTGATGTATTGGGCAAGAAACAGCAGTAAAAGCCAAAGTAGAGGTGTAAGTAATAAGTGGTGGTAAGCTGGGAAGATGAAGCTTAAAATGGGAGATATTTTTTTCCTAATTGGGCTTCAGCTTTAAGCTACACCCTGACTTGTGTAATTTATGCGATTTGTGATGCTCTCTGCCCCGCTGCTGCTAATTGCTATTAACTCCCCCTGCGCAGTGTAATCATTCGAATGCACAAATGGTTGTTTGAATGGCAGTGTTTGGCAAGCTGTCACACAAAAGCTTGTTTACTCCATGTCCTTTAGCTGAGCAGCTCCCTTGCTGGCCATTTGGAGCTCCCTGCTGGTCCTGGCTCTGTTAGGAGCTCCTCAGCAATGCAACTCTGGCTGCAGGGGCTGAGACTTGCAAAATGCAGAAGGACCAATGTGGGGTGGGTACCCTGGTGTGGAGAAAGCCGGCTTTGTGGTTGGTTTCTCACACCATTCTCACTTGCCAAAGTTGCTGTTTTGCTACAAGTTTTGGTGGGTCCCCACTCTGGATCCCCTGGACTGCATCACATCATCCTCTACAGCCTGAGGGGGATGCAGTGTACCCCTTTTGGGGATACACAGCACAACACTGGGATGACAGCTGCTCTCACTCCTGTGGTAGGAAGGCAGAAGCCAACCACATTTGACTTTTAAAGTGTATATACATACTTTTATTACATGAAACCTCCCAGATGGATCTGGCTTTGAATATGGTATCTTCCCTTGGTATCCCTCTGAGTTATCAGTAAGGGCTCCAGCTCAGACCTCTTGGGCAGGCTGAGCAACCCCAAACATCCACTGATTACATGAAGCTTTCCTTGGGAAAGAGGTGCCTAAGAGGTCACATTATGCCTGAAGAAACAATACCTTCTCAGGAGGATTGCTGGGGATGACTCCCTTAATGAAATCAGAGCTTTTTGGTGTTGCATGATGAGGGCTCACTTGTGAGGAAGGGCTAGTGCTACATGTAGGAGTTCATACTGAAGGAGACTTTCATTTCCTTTGCAGATTCCACTGCTCAGTACATCGCTTCAGTATCTGACTCAGCCTAGCAAGACGGCTGGCCAGTTGCACACCACACCAAAGGTATGGCCATTGCATACTGTTCTTAGGTCAAGTCCAGAAAATTAGGAAGTTGTGTTCTGGTTTTCTTTCTTTCTTCTTCTTTTTTTTTTTTTCTTTTTAATGCTACACAGTCCCTCAGAGATATAATCCTAATGCAAAAAAAAAGGTGCTTAGTTACTATGTATCCAGGATTTAGGTGGTGGTGAAAGCTCTGGCATTGCCTTCATGACTATGTCTTTGAACCTCAGATATGAAACAGGTGGGGCTGCGGAGTTTTGACAGGAATGCACCAAACAACTCAGGATTTACAGCCTTCCTGGAGAAAGTGGGAGATGTCTTTGGACCCCATCTTCTCATGTGGACTGGAGGAGGACCTTGAAAACATATATTGTCACCTCTGAGAATGTCCACTAGACTCCTGCCAGCTAGGCTGAGACACTCATGATTCTTCCTGTTCCACTGAGCTCAAATTATATTAAACTGCTGATAGAGGGACTTGAATCTGATTTCCCTGCCTTTGGGGACAGTGCTCAAGCCCCAAGATTGTGGAAATCAGTATGGGTTTTCTTCTTTTCTCACTACCAAAGACTGGTTAATAACATTTCCATTTTGGGGCAGATTCAACAGGACACACTTGATCTGAGTGGCCTTCCAAATCAGTGTCAAGAGCAGGATTTGCCCAATGCACAACTCCAAATCACATCAGAAAGGCTGGAAGGCTTCGCAGCAGGTCTTCATCTTCCAGTTTAGGCCAATGCAGCACCTGGATTATACGGAGGCCCCCCTTGTGTGAGACAAATGCCTTGGATTACTGTCTGCTTCTGCTAGAGTGCTTGGGAAGTTAAATGGAGTTAAGAGTCTCTTCCTGGGTCTCAGCAGTGGAACCAAAAGCTCATCTTTCTCCTTGTCCCATGGACGTGGCTCCCCACTCTGCTGTGATTTTCCGTGAATCCCATTCTTTGTTTTAGAAAGAGTGAACAGCTAATCTTAGCTGTGAATGCCACTGGGATGAGTGTTGGCTGGAAATTAAAGCATTGAAATGACTAGGCTATTTTGAAGATTTAACTCTAAGTATATATTTAGACAGCTGAATAAATGTCCCAGTTTTCAGAAGATGGCAGCTCCTGATCACTTCTGAAATTGAGGGGATGTGGAAAAGGAACATTTCTCATAGCTTCAGAAATACTTATTTGTGACACGGTTTAATTTTACAGAGGGAAATACTGCTGTTGAGTCCTTGCTATAGGCTAGGGCAGTTTGCTGTCTTTTAAACATTGAATGAAACTTATTAAACTTAAAAAAAAAGTCTAACAACAACAAAAACCAGCCCATTTTGTGCATTTCTATATAGAATGAGGAAAGACATTTTAGTTATATTGTAGTCATTTAACTGGTGTTATATTTTGACTGAAAGGCTTACTGACTTAAGGGACTCTTAGTTAAAAAGTGCTTCTTGGATCCATCAACATCGTGATCCCAGTGTTAGTAATGTCAATGGGAGAGTGGAAGCTGTCTGCCTGACAGCAGATGCTCCTTTGGGGAAGGAGCATCTCTTGGCTTGGATATATGCAGCACTTGCTGCAATGAAGCCCTACCTTCAACTCTAGGCTCTGTTGTAACAGAAATGTTAAAATATTTTTTTTTTTTCACAGGGAGTTTAAATGCTCAAGTTCAAGCATTTTATGGAAGGGAACATTTTAGATGATCATTTTGATACATATGTGAATGCTTTTTTTTAACATGTGGAATAAGCATGGTATCTCTAGGTACAGTGTTGGTTAGAAGACATAGTCAAAACTAGTGTATGCTAGAGTACATAATACAAACAATAGTTTAAACTATATATGCAAACATATACATATGTATAATACATAGTATGCTATATTATGTATAGTGTACTGCCTCTTTGCATACACATATGTTCCATCTGTGACACACAGAAGGGATAGAATACAAAACAGCATTTCCACACAAAACAGCATGCGGGTACAAATATGCCTTACAGGAGGTTATGTATACTCCCTAAGCCATGTTAATTTTTCTGGTGTCCTTATTGCTGTGCCACATGCCATCCCAGTAATGTACCTACTCAGAAAACTGATTATGCAAAAACGCCTAAATGACTTAGGAGTCTATTTTTTATAGTAATCTTGGTAGAAACAGGCAGATCTTTAAAGGCGCTCAGAAACTTAGAAATAGTGTACAGTATATTCTCAGTGGAATATTCAGAAGTGTTTTGGTAACTCAACTGCCAGAGAAATCAATGGAAGTTATGTGCTGGGACACTCTGCAGTCCCACTGAATATCTCTCTGCTTTCCTTCATACTAAATGTCTGTAGGAATCTGGCCTTGAGTAAAGTTTTAAGGCCCATGGTGCCTGAATAACAGAAATAAAACTTCCTTGCATGAGTTCGCTTGTGTTTTGCTCAGAAAGGGATGTGTGCTGTTTGCTATGGCCCTACCGAAGAGATTGCCAGAAGCGCAAGCTTGGATCATTCCTGCTTGCTGCTCTTCCCCTTGCGGGCCTTGAGACCAGCCCCTGCTGTGTGCTCTGGGCTGGTTTGATGGTAAGGAAGTTAGTTGAAATTGCTGTGAAAAACCAAGAGAAGAAAAGCAAGGTATTTCAACTTTCAGTAGATATTTTTGTTGTCTGCTTATTTAGTTTCAAGAGGGAGAGAGAAAGCACATAAATAATAGTGAGATTTCTGCAAGGCAGAGGAGAGGTTATAGAAAGGAGTGTATCTAAAGAGCAGTTCTGTAGCTTTAAAAAATGCAGCCGCATTGAAGTATGTGCAGAATATTTTAAAGTAACATCAAATATCTTTATTAATAAATTCCTGACAGGTTTCTGAACTGGGTAAACTTCTTATGTACAAACAAAAGCAAAGAACTTCACTGCCCCCAACACACTCTGCAGTCAGCCCAGTGTATAGGGAATAATGTGATTTGGCTGTAAATTATGGCAAGATCATGAATCTGAAGATCTGAACTGCCAGCCTTGACCTTTCCATACACAAGACACATTGCTCTAGAGATGATGCTTTGAGTATAGTCTGGACAAGGTGGTTCATGCTAATGGTATGGTCAATAGACCGGCAAACCGTCCGCAAGTTTGGCCACACAAGCCGTGATGGGCAGCTGGTGTAAGCAATATTCTTCAGCAAGAGAATCATCCCTACCTTAGGCTGAGCCCACATATTTAATTCTTTGACTTGCCATATAACTTCCATCCATATAACTAAATTCATACAACTATTTGCTGGCGCTGGTTGAAAAGTTTCAAATGAAGAATTCTTCTTTTTAAGACTTTTCACTCCTACTAGTAGATATATTTTGGTGAATTTCTCTAAGGTGCCTTCAGCTCTATGGATGGAAGTGACTAGATGATCGATCAATTCAATCCAACATAACAGTAGCTATGAGATCCAAGTTACTATGTTATTTTTTCCTGATGTATGTGTTTTTCCATTTTGGGTGAAACTTATATCATCCTTTCAGGAACACTCTTTGCAAGATTGGGAAGCTAAGGACTATATATGTTTCTGTTACTCCGATCTGTATGACAATATTTAACTGTTTCCAGAAGCCTTTGTAAGGCTCAGTCATAAAAACTGTAAGATCTTTTGAATTCCTTGGGAAAAAAGGTGAAAAAAAAAGTCAGGTAGCAAAGTTCGTGGATGTCAACCACTGATTCCTAGAAGAATATTAACATTTTTTCTCCCTACCAACTTCTTTTTGCAGCTGTTTGCCAACGTGTCTGGCTCTCTGGATGACCATGGAAGTTGTCAGTGCTCTGTGTACTTGCCAGATACCACCTTTCCAGTGCAGAAGGTCGAAGTACTCGAAAAGATAGCTGCAACACTTTCACAGAAATTTGAGCAGGAACTTTCTCAAGTAAGGTGTTCATTTCTTATAAAAGTACCAGCTGTATTTTCAGTTAAAAATGCTTGCCTGTGAAAGAGTACAGCAGACAGACTTTTCTATGACCTGTCTTTCAAACAATAGAAAATACTTTTTTGTGGGAACAAGGAGAAGGATGATTAAATATAAAATATGTGGCATTGTATCACGTTATACATTTAAATATCTGTAGGTTTATTTTCTAGGCCTTTTAAGCTAGAGGCATACGATATTTTTTTCAAAAAATATATATTTTTTATTTTTTAGCTCAGTTTTACTGGTTTTTGATTGCATCATAGCAATCTTTGGAAGACAACTCTCCTGCTCTTTCATGTGCTATTATTTGTATGAAGCCAACCGTATTATAACAGGGAAATAAAGGGAAACAGGAGAAAGGTCACCATAGCCCAGAGTGAAAAAGTAGGTGAATATTTGTCTTTTCACCTCTTTCGCTCTCAAAGATAAAAAAAAAAAAGGCAAATATCTTCCTTGTCATCATCTGAAGCTGTGGCAATAACACTACTGAATTATGCATTCTTGTTGAAGACAAACACACCTTACACTACTTTGGTTATTGTTGTTGCATGAACTCAGATTGTCTGTCTTTGGGGAACTCATGCAATCCCACACACACTGCTGTGCCCTGGGTGAAGCTGCCTGTGAGGACAGGAATCTGACTTTGACTCTTGGCTGTGGATAAATATTCAAGATTCAAATTAGATGTCCAGGAGAAAGTGTTTTCTCCAGGAGCCTGATGTATTAAGAAATGAAGTGTCCTTGAATTAATCAGCAGAAAAGGCAGAGCATTAAATTATAAATTCTAACCATAAATATTCATAACCCTCCTCTGGTATAATCAAGAACAGATAAGAAGTTATGCATAAAAACACAACAACAGGCAGAGGATCCTGTGGAAAGATCTTTCAGTTAAAATCATTTATTTTGAAGGAACTGGAGCTAGTGATGACACACATTTGACTGGCAATGGGGATATGAAGGGCAGGTTGACACAAATCCCAATGCCTCCAAGCACAGGAGTTACCTGGTCCCTTGCTGGAAAGAGGCATATCTCAGAGCCAGCAATCCATGAAAAACATGGAGATGCTTTCAGGCCCCCATATTGCTCCCACTGTGGTCAGTGCCAGCATGTTGAGCTCATTTCACTAAGGCAGGATGAGGGCCCCACCTCCCAGCCAGAAACCTGACCTGATTCTGCAAGGCATTTCCTGATGGAGCAGCACCTTTCCCAGTCGCTTTTCCTGGTGCACCCTGCCTCTCCTCAGAACAGTGCTTATCTGTAATAGGATACATGACATATCTCATAGATCCCTGCAGACATTCAGAGTATCTCAATTACAACTAAACCTCTCTATATGAACAACCACAGATCCCCGCTGACTATAATGGGAGTTCAGATATCTGGCTTATATAAAGACACAGATACTGCAAACATGTAAAATTATGTGTACATTTATAGCTGAATCTCGTCTCTAAAGTTAGGCTAAGCTGGATCCCCACTCTGCTCTAGGTGGCCAGCTGATGTCAACTGGTGTAACTGTATTGCAATCCTTCCCTACCTGTGTACAACACTGTAGACCCCAACCCTTGGTTCTTAATTCTAGCTGCAGGAAGAGAAAATTTTCAACCTTACCCAGAATCCAGAAGATTTCGTCCTCCTGAGACCAGTCAACCAAATTCTTACAATGACCCTAGCTAGGTAAAGACAAATGTTTCAGTGTGATCCAGGCAGAGAGACACCTAGAATTAAAAATGAAAATGAACAGATTGCATTTTGAGGTAGCTCTGTGTTTGTAAAAGTTGTTACTTATGATGTTGTTTTTTTATGGAAATTAGAAAGCTGTCAAGCACTGACCTACTGACGTATGAACTGAGGTAGTGTGAAGTCTCACAATGCAGAAGTCACCATGCATATTCACATTAGTGCTATATAAATATGTTCTATAGACTTTTAAAATGAGTTATTCGTCTCTCTAGTTGTGGAAAAAACAGCTCCACATATAATCTCATGTACTACTTCCGTCATGATAATAGCTACAGAAAGGGGGAAATAGCAAAGGAAGTTCCATCTGAACATGAGGAAAAACTTCTTAACTGTCAGGATGACAGAGCGCTGGAACAGGCTGCACAGAGATGTTGTGAAGTCTCCTTCTTTGGATATATTCAAAACCTGTCTGGATGCAGTCCTGTGCCACATGCTTTAGGTGACCCTGCTTGTGCAGGGGGGTTGGACTAGATGATCTCTAGAGGTCCCTTCCAACCTCAACCCTTCTGTGATTCTGTGATTCCATGAAATAATGAATCAGAGATAGTTCTCATTATTAATCATTATTAAAAATTCTTCTAAACCAAACTCTATGGAGTTTAAAGGGAAATTCAGATCCAAGCTTGACTTTTTAGTTCAGATGTAACTTATATCACCACTGGGATGAGAGTTTCTATTGAATGCTTAATTTTTGGACTCTGAGAACCCATACTTCATTCACTCTTTTAAAATACCCTTTGAAGCACATGGGAGTTTTCCTGGGTGAAAGTCGCAGGATTGAACCCTTTTAAGGATGCTTTCCATGTGCTAGAAGCCCGAGATAAACAACCTGATTGAATCGTTAACCTTTTGCCTGATTGTAGGCTAATTCAAAAAGCAAGGGAGTCCTTTTATAGAATCAGCAGGCAAGGAAGCTCACAGATAGAGAGATACTCTCATGTGCCAAATGAGTATACACCGTAGGCTGAAAATACCAGACTAATTTTTCCTCTGTCACATCAACCTTTCCTAGCATAATTATGATTACAGAAGAAAATTAACCTTTCAAAGCAAAGTGGAAACTGGTTGCTTCTTGAACCAGGTTGCTGCAGCCATTTGAACTGCAACACTAAAGAGGAGAGGACACCTCAGTAGCTGGGATGGATCACCATTCCATCCCAAGGAAACCTTTCAGAACCTTGCTCACAACAGGCAAAACATCCTTACTTAACAAAAATGGGATAAAAAAAAAAAGGGCATTTTTGCCCTTCACCAGTAGTGACTATTTTCAATGCAGATTAATGTGTAGGGGTGTTCTTCTCAGTGTCACCTGGCTGGCTGCTTGCTGACCACACTCCTTGCAAGGTCTGTAGAGGCTAGGTCTGCCTGAAGCCAGTATCCTGGTTCTAGTGACTTTATAGAATTGCTGGTTTTGTCACATCTTTCTCATCTTTCCTCAGTCTTACCACATTTTTCTTTTGCATTTTCCTCTTGCACCCTTGCTCCCACTTCTGTGCTCCCAAATGCATGCTGGAGAAGTGTCTGCTTGCATGCTGAAAAAATAGTGTTGATAAATACCAGTTGCAGGTAAATGACACAATAAATGAACATTGCAGATTTTTCTTGCCCTTTTCATCCGTGTGTATGACAATGCTTGGAAAGGAGGAAAAACTAAAAGAGAGGATTTTTTTTTCCTACATATGCCTCAGTTGGCACCATTCTCTTCCTCCAAAAGGACTAATACAAGCCTTATATTACATGCATTTATTATACTCCACTTAAGGCTTTTATGATGAATATGAATCAGTACAGATACATATTTAGTATCAGATTAAATATGTGCCATAGACAGAATTTCTGTGGTGATGTGTTGGCCTATAAAGAGAAAACAGCCAGTCCCTGGCAGGTAGATACAGTAGAAGAGCAGGGATTACAAGCTGCTTAAATCTGTCTGCCAAGCAACAGAGCAACATCATGTTCCTTTCTAAACTGACATGTATAAACTACAGAAGCTCCAGAGCCAGATCTGAGCAGGCTGGGATGTCCACGCAGTGCACTGCAATGCTTGGCATAGGTGCTGGCTCTGTCTACAAAAGCAGTATAGACCTACTAGAGCAGCATTGTATCTGAGATAATTATGTGTGTCTAATAGTTGCCCAGGGAACTATTAGCTGCTCTGCTGCTGTGGCTCTGAAGCTGAGCCGCTGGGGCTAGTTTAGCCTCAACTTGTTTGGTTATCTCTCAGCTCTGCTCCACTGGATGATGTTGACATGTCCTTAAATGACCTAGATGACTCAGTTGACTGAGTGAAAACAGTCTGATATGGGAGGAGGACTTCTGGTCTATGTCCTGCAGGACTCTATATTCAGCACTGAAATAACTATGTGCACCTTGTTGCAGCCATGAGCATTTTTTTTTCAGAGTCTCAAAATCCTGCACAGAACTCCAGATTCACAGGTTTGGTCTGACATTTTTTTCACCAATGAGTAGCCTTCATAATAACAGTAGTCTGTGTATTTCAGTGGATTGTAATTTTTGTAATAATTGGGAAATTATTATTATTACTATTACAGTGAGAATAACTATTAATACCTATATAGATTTCCCCAAAATTCTGTGATGTATGTAGTTTCACATAGCAGAATCATTTTATTCAGACATGTGCCTGTTTTATGTTTCCCAGATTGTAATGATGTGTGCTTTCTTGTTCTTCTAAGCACGCAATGGGTTTTTTATGCAAACACTGCAGAAGCTACAGTTTAGACACTGACCTTTGAGGAATTTTTCTCACAGAGAAGGTTTTTTTTTTTGAATATGCCTTCCAAATCCAAATTGATTTTTATGATTAGTGAAAGTGTAGGGTCCATCTAACCTCAGGCTGTTCCAGGAGCATTGCTGAGTTCTTCCTTCCGGTCTCTCATGGACCAGGAGGCAGCCAGTACAGCAATCCCAACCGAGTACTGTAGTTAGCAAGATATAAGGAGCTAGATGTAAGTCTATATGTGCTATTTTTTATTATTATTGTTAACTGTAATAAGCTTAGCTATAGCTTAGCTATTTCTTATTTTGCAGTTACTCAGGCTTGGCTTAGGAGATCTAGAGCATCCACTGTTGTGAGTCAGGGTGCTTCTACTGCAGTTTATGGAGATCCGCCAAATTATGTCAACTCAAAGTCAACTCAGATATGTTTCAAATGACTTAAATGCATGGAACGGAGCAACCTACTTTTGGTATATGTTATGTACACGCACATAAAGGTTTGGTAGTGGCTTTCCACAGCTTTAAAATGTAGTTGTGCCACTATACTTTTGAAGTTCTATTACTTAAAGTAGTCATTCTTAAATCAAATGATATCATTATGATAGTAAGGGATCATTTTTTGCCCTTCATGAACTTCCACAGCCTGAGCTTGTTACTCAGCACACAATGAATTCAGCAGAAAAAAGAAGAATTAATTATATGATGTGTGTGCTCTCTGCAGTCTCAATCCCAGAGGCTGTTGGCAGAACAAGAGAATAGGGAATGTGTGGTTTTCATACCATGACAGGATTTTAGAGGCCATTACAGAGCCAAGGGAGAAAAGTGTGGGCTTTTATTTTATGTTAGGATAAAGCAAGAACGGCCATATGGATATGGGCTAAAATCTTTCACTCCAGGAGTTAATATTTATAGAAATAATAGTGCTATCAGAAGATGGACTTATAATGCAAATAGCTTCTCAAAGTATAAATATGGAGCTGCTGGTGCAGGAAACTAACTATATTTGTTCTTATTACCTTGGAGGATATAATTACATTGGTTTAAGAGAAAATAGATGCCTTTTTAAATAATATGAAACATATAGCTGGGAAATTATATTTTCTCAAAGTGTTAATTTTCATGGAACTAAATTTTCTAAAGAAAGTTCCAAATGCATCTAATATTCTTGACATTCTACATCACAATGCTTGTGCTGTGACCTTTACCTTAGCAGTTACATGTGTGAAAATATATTTATCCAGACAACTGTCTAATGGTTCCAAGGCTGAAAAGATTGCTATGTAAATTACTTTATCTAAAGGCTGCAATAACTTTTTCACCTTCACTTAAACTAGCTTTGATTTTTTAAGGGGATGTTAATACCCTCTGTAAACAGAACAACGACAAATGCAAATCTAGTCCTGCCATCATCTGACAAAATTCAAATATACCCAGCATAAAATCCTAATTGCAAAAGTTAGGAATCTGCTATTGCCCTTTCAGTTGCTTTATCCTCTACATTCTTCTTTGGGTTGATTTGCCGGGTACTCTACTGCAGACTGTGGGTAAAAATGTCACCAGCATAAGTTCTTGGCATACTTAAGATAAAGTTAGCTCACCGAGGTAACATTGACAAAGTATTAAAAAAATATAGAAGACTACAACTAAAAATCTATTTTCAGTTTTCTTCAGGCATTCTGAAGGGGACTTTTTGGAGCTTCCAGCAATAAACGAGGGATAAATTTTGTATTTTTTCTCCATGTGATGAGATTTTCACTATGTAGTTTCTGTGAAGAAAATGCCTGTTAAGTATGTGGAAGTTATGGATGGGATACTCAAAAGTATAATAAAAATTGACGTCTTAAAAAGGCTTGTTTTATTCGTTAACCTGAACTTGAAAATGTGCCTTTTTTTTTCTCTTTAAGGTGAGGGAGTACACAAAAGTGATTGAAATATATCAACAGAAAATTGTTAATCTAACCATCAGAGTGGAATATATGGAGAAGAGCAGCATATCTTACACAGAGCTGGACTTCCAGTTACTGAAAGTGGAAATCATTAACCTGGAGAGACTGGTCACTCAGCTGAAATCCAGTGTTGTTGGAAGCAACGTTATTGTTGAACAAATATATCTGGAGGTATGCCCAAATGTTAATTAGCTAAGCAGGTTTCAAATATACAGATGGTCTGTTCTCTCTCTGGTGTTGATGGAGAAATGTAACCTATCTATCTTTACTGCAGCCAGTGGAATTACTTTAGGATTTCATCAGCATAAACTAAGGAAAGTTTGACTTTAAGTGTATTAACATATTTTTCTTTGCTATAAGACACAAAAAAAAAAGAAAAAAAAAAGCAGGGACTTTATCTTTACCAGTTATCTGCCTGAAAGTTAAGAATTCTGCATAGTATAACACACATTAGCTGTTTAAATTATTATAATAAATATCAATTTATAGACCCCCATGCTTGAAAGGCTTTGTGCTTTAACTTAGGTAATTAAAAAATTAGCTTGTGGTTGCTAGGGCAGTGGCCCAATCAATATGAAATCAGGAACTGGGAAAGAGCATCACCTTCCGAGCACACTATAAATCACATTTTAAAAGTTGTAATTAATCACTCACATAGAGAGAATAATTGCTTCAGATGGAAGGTAAAATATCATTAGTTTTTTCACTGTCCTCTAGATCATCAAGTAGGTGACTGAGAACATTATTTATCTGCAAATAGAAATTCAAGATACTCAAAGCTCAATGAATACTTTTTTTAAAATAATAGCTAGTGCTTGCTTAAGACTTATTGGATGTTTATATATATTTATATATTTAGCAGTATGGTATACAACTGAGTGCTAAAGCATGTCCTTATGGTTACATACATCTGCTAGAGATGCAAGGTGCCAGCAGAATAAGGCATGTACTTAAGGATTCTTCTTAAAACATGTTAAGTAGCATCTCTGTTATGATCAATCCTGGCCTGCAAATATCTGTAAATAAAGTTGACAAGAATTTAAACTTGCTCTCATTTTTTTTTTCCTTTAGATCACAAATCTGACTATCCTGGTGAATGAACTGGAATCATTGGACAAAAACAATATCCTTGCAATTCGACGA